TGCCCGATCTGACCCCCTTTGCAGCAGCCGAGTAAAACCAACATACTGAAATCTCTTTTCTCTCCCCTTCTCTCTCATCTTCTTGTTTTTCTAGATGTTTCCCCTGCCAGTGGCTAATGGAAAAAACAGACCCACGACCCTAGCGAGCACTCAGTTTGGAGGATCAGGTACTGTCATCTTAATTTTTTTTTCTTAACGCTGTAACGTTTCTTGCATCAAATTTGTGTTTGCTTCCAGAGACCCAAAAGGAAGGGTTTCTGTAGTTTTGGGTTATGTGTTTTTCTGGTGGTGGTCTGCTACTATTTCTCCGGATGATTTTCTTGTTGCTCCATGTGTCTCCGGGTAGTCGAAGCTGCTCTTGCTGATCTGTCTCCAGTTAAGAAGTCACTACCTGGGCTGAAGGTTGTTGTCTGGCCGCTCCGATGGGAGCAGACAGTCAGTGCCGTTCTCTTAAGCTGCTTAGGACGAACGCGTGTCTGCAGACGTACGCCCTGGAAGACTTTTGCTGTCCGTCACTGAGAAGACGCGGTGGTGGTGGTGGTGGTGGTGGTGGTGACTTCCTGGGGCTCAGCTGCCCAAAGGGAAACTGTGGTGCAATTTGGGTGTCTGCTCCATTCAGCCCCTCCAGCAGCTCCCTGTTGTTGAGTGGGATCTTGGCGTTCCCAAAGGGACTTTTACAAAGTCCTCCTGGCCAGATGGCTCCAGGCAGCACGGCTGCCCTGGGGAGGTGGGCAGCAAGGGCGGCTGGAGCCGTTTCATCAGCCTCTGAGCTGGGCCCCGCTGTGGTTTTGGGGTGCTGTTGAGCAGAGCCTTCCCTGTCCCGCCTTGCTGCGGTGTCCCCAAAACCAGCAGCTGGCCCCGCTCCCCAGAAGTGCCGAGGGGCTGCATCTCTGCCGGCCTGGCTACCGAGGAGGGGTGCCAAGGGCTTTGGGAGCAGGGCGCTTGCCAGGAGGAGCGGGATGGCCGTCAGGACTCTGGGATCTCTGATTGGGAAACGCGGTGTGGGTTAATTTGAGGCTGAAGCAGAGAATTCCCCGGGCAGGCGGATGGCGTGGTGCCGTGCCAGGCTTTTGATGCTCGGGGAAGCTGCTCTGTGCAGGGCTCGCTGCGGCCCCTGGCACGCAGGAAGTTCAGTTAATTTGCCCTTCTTGCTGCAACACGCTGATGCTTGGTGGATGGTTAAAACTTGACCTTCTCTACCCGGGGCCGACTCGACCTGTCCAGGGAAACTCGGGGCCGCGTGGAACGGCCGTGCCCTGACACTGGCAGGCATCCCGAAGGCCGGGGTGGGATTTCTGGAGATGCCGCAGCGCGCTGTGGGGCAGCTCCTGGGGGGCAACCTGCAGAAGCAGGACAGGAGGGGTGTACTCTGCCCTTTTTGGCCAGGGAAATTTGATGCTTTTGGATGGGGCTGTTGAGCTGTATGTCAAGATGGTTTTGAGCAAACATTTTTACAGGGAGGGAAGCTGTTGAGTGGGCGCTGGAGGAAATTTGAGGGCAGAAAACTCTTGGGTTAACCCAGATGGAAGCTGATCTCTCCAGCGAGTGTTCCTGTGTGTGACTTTTGCTGTTAAAATAATCCACAAAAGACGCGCTTACACGCTAGTGAGGGAACAGTAACGGAGCAAGCTCACACGAATTCGTTTCCTGCTCGGAGGCCGGCTGGGCTGCCGGGTTTGTCGTGCTGGCCAGCGAGGGGAGGCTGCGAGCAGGGCTCTGCAACGCAGCCGGTGCAGCGACCGGACCCCCCTCCGCTTGGCTGTGCAGCAGCCAAAATGACACAAAATCTTTTATTCCCCCCGCCCCTTCTTTTCTTTCGGGTGAGTGAAAGGTAATGTTGACACCACCCTTCCTCTGGGCTGCTGCTTTTTGAGTCTGGCTGTGAGCAGTTCATAAAAACAGAGGACTGATGTTATACAACTGGACTGAAGGCAGTTGCACAATCGCTGCTGTCCCACTCTGAGGGCTCTGCGGCGGCTCCCTCATCCTGCCCTGGGCATGCCAGGTTTGAAATGCAGCTCAGGGCTTGGTTTTGGGGAAGCCTTTTGCTCCAGTAGTGGAGTTATCCCTCGGCTGGTCATTCCCGGCCTCACCTTTGGAAAGCAGGGGGCATGTTCCGTTTGCATCTCGGCTTTGTGACTTCTCTCTGGTCCCGAATGTTTGACGATTGCCTTTTGCTGGTGGGGTGAATAACTGCAGTGAGACGTGGATGGGATGTGCCTTGCATAGGGGTGCCCTGCGACTGTTAGAAGGATCCAAGGTGTCTAAACAAGGTCCTAGATAGCGGCGAGCGGTTGTTTTTACAGTTTGCTGATGTTGGTTTTAGCTTAATTCAGTAATTGACAGCAAGGTACAGTCAGATATTAGTTCACCCACACAGGCGTAGCCAGCCACCCACCCCGCTCAAAATTTGACTTGAATTCGAATCGTCACCAATGCTGACGTGGTCAGAGGGCGAAGAGCAGATGGTCCTTGGATTTGGGGACCTGGGCTTGCCGAGGGAGCGGAACGCCTTGCAGCCACGCTGTAACTTGGACCTGGAGATTAGTTCCCAAAATCGTCTAGGCTAGGCTTCCTCTTCAATGTGCTTCATGTTTCTCGAACGCCCCCGATCAATCGGACTCCCGTAGCCCCGATAAGGATAGCGCAGCGCTTCCCCTCCGCTGCCGTCCCCCTGCCTGGACAGGAGAAGCAAACACCGATTTGCTTCAGTCTTAGCTGGGCAGGGTGCACCGTAGTGCCAGTATCTCATTATTTGGGGTTATTGTAGTAACCCCAAGACAACAAACTTGATGCCGTCTTCCGTGCCAGAGAAATTGGTGTTCTGTGCTTCTGCCCGCCCTTGGACATGTGAATTCGTGGCCTCCCACTTGGCATCTCCCTCCTCCTCGGGGAAATCCTGGGGCAGTATGTGGCTTTTATTTTCTCCCCCTCTGGAGGAGCTATTAACTCGAGGCTCTTTCCTCCCCGGGGGACGTCAGGAGTGAAGGGAGCAAGGCAGTGACTCTGACGACTCCCGGCCAAAATGCCCCACTTGCCAAGATGACATTCTTGCTTCCCAAGTCCAGCTGGTAAGGTAGTGCAGTCATTTGAAACAGTGCTATTAGAAAATCGTGGGGATAAAATTGCCCCAAATTCAAATCCCAGTTAATAATTGTCCTGGCCAAGGTGCGGGCACCCCCTTTGCGAAGAGGAACCCGTTTCTCCCTCCCAGGCCAGGAAAATTCAAAGTCTTAATGCCAGCCCTCCAGCTTTGAGATCCCTTTGCTTTTACATTTGTCTCCTGGTTTTATTTTAAGCTCTGCCACTGTTTCCCTCATTTCTGTCCTTAAATGCACCGGGGAGGAACTGGTTTAGCTACCCCGCCGCATGGACAATTCAGCACCTCCGCTTTGCGTTTTCTTGGCAAGGCGAAAGCCAGCAATTGCCACTAGGATGGAGCTGACGTCATGCGGACCGTGTCTGCAGCATTTATAGCACATATAGGTCACCGCGGGGAAGTTGGTCTTCCCGGGGCTTTGAGCTGCAACCAGTGTTTTCCAGAGTAAGCCGTGTCATTTGCTGCTGGTATTTTATTTTAGCTGGGACGCTCAGCGTATGCCTGTTGTCCCCGTCCTGGAAGGCTGCGGTTTTGTCGTCCCCTCGCCAAAACTGTTTTGTTTATTATTTGCAGTAGCAAAATATTTAAACCGGCATCCTCCGTGTCCCCCCCCTCCATGTCATAGTTCATAAATGACTGATCTGAGCAGAAACAAGCTCCCTCCCAGCGCGCTTCATTCAGCGGCGCCTCCAGCAGGAAACCACGCGTGCTAAATTTCACATGGAAATAACCATTTCTAATTGACGTTAAGGCAGTAGGAGTGGTAGGAGGCAAAAAAGTTTCATTGTCTCTTCCCAAGCCGGGCCGTGGCTTTGCCACCATGGCACGGGGCTGCGCCAGGGGCCGTCGCCTGGTGGCCTGTTGGGTTTTCGGCAGGGTCAGTGCATGCCAGCAGTGCCTTCGCTTCAGCAAAACGAGTCGGGGAGATAAACCCGAGGCGAGCGGTTGTGCGAGGTAACGCGGCTCCCGGCGCAGCTCGTGAGCAGCGCTTTGCATCCGCCGGCGATGGGGAGAGCGTGCAGCCACCTCCCCTTCACATCGCAAATGGTACGCGGTGCCCGGCTTGTGTGCTCTTGAAACAGGAGCCCAGGCAGCCTCCTGCTGACAGATTATTCTGCTCGCAACAAAGAAAAGCTTTGCTAAAAAAAAAAAAAAATCACTTTTTTTACTTTTTCTTTCCTTTTGAGTAAGGGAATTCACCGTTAAACGCCTTTTCCTTCGTGCTGAAGGGAGCTCCCTTGCTTGGGATCTCTTAGGTGGGGTTGGAAGGGAGATCCCCTCGTGGTCCGTGCTGTGATTTCCACCCCCCCCAAATTTGTTTGGCGCTTTTTTTGCTAGCGAGATGGTGAGATGAGGCTCATTGTCGAGGGGAATTGCTTTGATCGGGGCAAGTTCATAAAATACATTTGAAGCTGGCTAACCAGGGGAGTTTTTCAAAGAGTTACAAGCCGGTGCATGTAACAGATTTGAAGTTATAGTCTACTGAACAAAGCCGACGCATTCTCCCTGGAGGGAGGTGAGTCCGTATCCCCTTTGAAAGCCCGCTTTAAACAACCTTCAAACTTGGATACCTGTGGCAACGGCACCGACGGTAATAAATCCTATGAAAGCTGAGGTTGTCTCTTTAATTGCTGCTAGGTGGTGAGCTGTTTGAAGATTTAATTATTTTGCCTGTGCGCGCAGCCCTGGATGTCACCCAAGGTAGGGAGTTGGGAAGAGCGAAGCGCAGCGTTTCTGTCGCCGTGCTGTCAGCAATTGAGTTTGAGGCTGCAGAAACGCGTTTGCAAGTATTTCCCGTCGCGAGGAAAGCAGGAGCTTTTCTTAGCAAGGATGTATCACGTTTTCCTCCTCCCTGCCTCTAGTTCCCACATGTTTTGCTTATGGCGGAGTGGGAGTGATGGGCTTCGCTTGCTATTTTGATAGATGATGAAAGGCAGACATGAGGTGCGCAATATGCGACTTGATATTTAAAACGGGCGCTTTCCATTCAAGTGCCTACTTCAGGCGGCTTGTTTACATTGCGGGTGCGTGCGTGCCCGTACAGCGGGGCTTGCAAAACTGTCACTA